GCCCTTGTGGTCTCTTCCAACTCTATGATTCTATGATTCTATGTTCTGAGCTGCCACTTCTCCCTGATATGTTGAATTCTGTAGGGACTAGTGGCACTGAATCAGATGCAGTTGTAGACCTCACAGGGCCAGTTTCTCCCTGCCGTGCCATTCTATGCATGTTCAGTCCATGGTGTCTTTTTGCTTTCTTCTTAGAGAATCTGTACAGGTTGTTGTTATCATGTATCTTCAAGTCATTTCAGACTTATGGCAACCCCAAGGCAAATCAATCATGGGGTTTTCATGGCAAGATTTTTTTCCCCAGAGGTTTGCCATTGCCATCCCCTGAGGCTGAAAGCATGCGTCTTGCCCAAGAGTACTAAGTGGGTTTCATGGCTGAGCAGGGAATTGAACCTTGGTCTCCAGAGTTGCAGCCCAACATGCAAACCAGTACACTACACTGATTGTAGCCTTAATATATTACTAGAACAGAGGACAATGATTCTGTACTCCTGGAATCACACCATTAAAAGGAACTCCTTGCTAACAACCAGCACGCTTCAGGGAGCTCAGAGGTTTCTTTAAAATGCAGCTGATGGTTTTTTCTGACAGAAACCTAATAGAAGAATAATTTGTGGCCAATTGCCTGGGGTTTACTACAGTCCTACTCCAATGTCTCTGTAGGCGACTGGACAAAACCAGGCTGTTCTCATTCTACTCTTGGTTTGTCTTTAACAGAGAGGCCACCGGATACTGAAGCATGTACACATTGACGTATCTTGGGGAAGCAGGGTGCAGGAAGGACAGATGCATCTCTCCCCCATTCCATTTCTCGTTATGTTTAACCAGAGGGAGATATTTCTCAGACTCAAAAGCTCCCAGCAAGTTTCTAGTCCTCAAGAACCTTCTGGTTCTAAAGGATTAATGTAGTCCTCCCAGCCTTGCAATAGCAGAGAGTCTTGAGCTTTGCAATTGTTTTGCAAAAAGGAGGCCAGGCAGACAAGCAAAGTGACCTACGGTCCATCTCCTTCCATCCCTATGTTGTTGTGTGCCTTCAAGTAATTTTCTGACTTATGCTGACCCTAAGGCAACCCTACCATGGGGCTTTCTTGGCAAGTTTCTTCAGAAGGGGGTGTTTGCCATTGCCATCCTCTGAGGCTGAGAGAGTGTGATGTGCCCCAGACGTGGGTTTCCATGGCCAAGCTGGGCTTCCATCACTTTTGTTGTTTTGTTAGCTGCCCTCAAGTCGACTCAGACTCATGGTGACCCTGTGGATGAGACACCTCCAAGAACCCCTATCTTTTCTCTAAGTCCCTGCAAGCCCAAGCCCGTGTCCCCCCAATTGAGTCCATCTATCTGGCATGTGGTGTTCCCCTCCTTCTTTTAACCTTTACCTTTCCTAGCATTATTGTCTTTTCTAGTGATCTATGCCACTAGTGTTCTTGCACTGTATAGAAACAATCCCCTGGAAGCATTGACACACACACACACACACACACAAATCTACTCTTTCATCCATCCATCCTTCAGTGTGAACACAAACAGTTATGCCTCCTGCAATTTTGTAAATTCTTTGATGTTGTTTTCCTTTACTTCATCCTTTGTTGCATGACTCTAAGTCTTACTCTCAACGTACCCACGGCTCATATCAAATCCCATCATTTTGGCCTCAAAACCTGCCCCTCGACCTATGCCTGAGATCAAATTATAGTTGGGTAGACGTGGTATTTCTTCTGCGTTTCTTGATGCGCAGCATTAATCCTGCCTTTGCATTTTCACCTTTGACTTTCCTTAGTAACTGTTCCAATTCTGTGAGGCCTTCCGCTAGCGTTCCTGTGTCATGAGCCACATAACTTAGGTCAGTGGTTTTGGGCTTCAAGTCCCAGAAGCCCCAGCCAGCTTGGCCAACAGTCAGGAATTCTGGGAGCTGAGGTTCAAAACATCTGGAGGACCAAAGTTTGGGAACCACTGCCTTAGGTTATTGATGACCTTCCATCACTACCCTGGTCCTTTCCTCCTTGGGAAGAAATCTCATTTCCTACTCCTTCCTCGAGTGGGGAGGGGGAGAAATGAGATTTCTTCCCAAGGAAGAAAGGGACCTTGTCTCTAACGCTGCTTTACCTTCCCTTGCCTTGCCTCGCCTCGCCCCGCCCCGCCCCGCACTTTGCGCAAAGCCCCTCCGAGAATACCCCCCTTTCCTCCGCAGGCGCCCCAATTGCGCACCAGGTAAGCGGGACCCCCTCTGGCTGGGCTTTTCAGCCTGAGTGCTGGGCTAATGAGGGGGCGGGACTTGGAGGGAGAAGAAAGCAAAGCCCCGAGCCCCCCTTCCTCGCTGATTGGTGGGCTGGGGGCGTGATGGTGGTGATGCCACGTCCGGCGGGGAAAGCCCTGCCTTGCTGGGGCGCCTCCTCAGTCTCTGCCTGGGTCGCTTCGCAGGTGGGGAGGCTCCGGCTCGGATGCAGGCGCCGCTGCTGTTGCTGTTGGGGCCCCTCCAGCTTCCAAGTTTGCCTCCGGAGTCTT